CGATAGAAACACTAAGGTAGAGAAGGACTGGTTAAAGTGTTCACTGACACATAGGCAGTAAGTAATAAAAATGAGGCTGAACTGGTAGCAGCCTGGCTTTAGAGTTCATGGCCTGACCATTGGAGCACACTGCCTTTCAGGTGACACCTGGGGCTTCATTTTACCTGCCTTCAAAGGCTATGCGTACTTATCCAATTCTAGTTCAACTGATGTTTATGATCGATAGTATTTTAGATACTCATACTAGCTGATTTCACAGTGACTTTCATTCAGTCTCAAGAGCGTTGTCAAGCAGGTATCATCTCTATTGTAGAGATAGGTAGATGTGAAGTCACCTGCCTGGGTTCACACAATTACTGAGGAGTAGCTTTGGGATTGAAGACCTAGATCTTAGAGGCTGGAGAGATGGCTCAGAGGCTAAGAGCACTTGCTCTTGCAAAAGACACAGGTCCAGTTCCCAGCACCCATATGGCAACTCACAACCATCTGTAACTGCAGTCCCAGGGGGTTGGACATCAGTAGACACCAGGCATGCATGGGATGCATATACCTACATGTAGGCAAAACACTCACTGACATACAAATTAAATAAATACACCTAAAATGTTGTAAACCCGGATCTTCTGGAAGTCATGCACTTTCAACAGCCTTGTAAATTATATTTCTCTGTAAACTGTCAGCCAGTGGCTATTGATAGACTTAAATGTTGTGTTACCATGAGTTTCAAATTTCATCATTCCTCATAGATCCCGCTACCCGGTAGCAGTCGCTGCCCATCCCACATTCCCCTAGTTTTTGGCAACTAGTCTAATCTGTGTTCCTATGGATTCCTCTACCCTCAGTATTTCACATAAATGGAAACAGCATGCAGCCTTTCCTGTATGTCTTCCTTCACATGGCATGTTTCCAGAACCCATCGTGTGACAGCACATTCCTCTCTACAGCCGGATACTACCAAATATCACAGTCTTTATTTTTTATCTCTTCATAAATTGATAGGCATGTGGATTGTTACACTTGGGAGCTATTAGGAAATACTCTTCTATGAAAACTCAGACACAAATTTTTGTCTGAACATGTTTTCAGTCTTCTTCAGTTTAGACCTAGGAGTGGAATTGATGGGTGAGAACTCCATGTTGGCCTATCTGAGGAGTAACCAACACCCCCCCCCCCCCCAAATCCTACCCTATTTTTACATATCACACAGTGGCAAATGCTCCTGTTTCTCCAGACTCTCTGTTGAACTTGTTTCCTTCCTTTCCTGATGGCATTATGGTGAGTACCCTCGCTGACTGCTCTGGATAATTTTATGTCAACCCGACACAAGCAAGAGTCATTTGAAAGGAGGGAACCTCAGTTTAGAAAATGCCCCCATAAGATCAGGCTGTAGGCAAGCCTGTAGGGCATTTTCTTTTTTTTCTTTTTTTTTAGTTTAAATTAGAAACAAGCTTGCCTCACATGCCAATCCCAGCTCCCTCTCCCTCTCCTCCTCCCCAGCCCTCCACCCAATCCCCACTCCATCCCCCAGGGCATTTTCTTAATTAGTGATTGATGAGGGAGGGCTCATCCCATTGTGGGTGGGCTCAGCCCTGAGCTGGGTGGTCACAGGTTTTAAATGAAACAATGCTGAGCAAGCTATGAGGAACAAGCCAGTAAGCAGCACTCCTCCATGGCCTCTGCTTCTGCTCTGACTCCAGGTTCCTGCCCTGTTTGAGTTCCTGTCCTGCCTTCCTTCAGTGATGAACAGTGAGTTGGAATCATAAGCCAAATAAACTTTTCTCCCCAAGTTGCTTTGGGCACAGTGTTTTATCATAGCAATAGAAACCCTAACTAGGACATTGACCATCCTTTCATAGGCCTATGACCATAGTATGTGCTAAGAAATGTCTATTCAAGTCCTCTCCCCACTTTTAGAGTGGGTTTATTTTGTGTATCTTGGAATTTAAGATTATTATGTGAGACTGATAATTTGAAATATTTTTCTTCCATTCTGTGGGTTGTATTCATGGTCCTAAACGTTTTAAATTTAGATGTTATCCATTTCTTTTATTTGATTTCTTGTGCTTTTGGTTTCATACCCAAGAAGTCTTGCCCATTTAAAGGTCAGAAAATGTGACATATAAAGATCATTTTTAAACTTCTTCTCCCACGAGATGCATTTTGCAGATTAAAGTGAGCCAGACCCTCCATTTAATGCTGGAAAGATGGCCTTATTTTTGACTAGAAGATAGAACATGACATTAAAGAATTCATAAATTATCTCCTAAATTAATAATTTATATGCCATGTTTATTACAGGACATTAAATAAATCCTATCTATTATCTTAATAACTATAATTGTTATGAGATTTAAAAGTCAATGTTCTGAATAAACTAATAGAAAATAATAAAAGTTCGAAATTCATGCTTATGAGAAAAACATTCAAAGACATTACCATGTGAGTAGCTAAGATGAAATGGCTTCCCTATCCTTGCTCAGCTAACAAACTAAAGAATAGCACTTCTACAGCCTCCAAACAATACAGAGAAACCCTGTCTCGTAAAACCAAAAAAAAAAAAAAAAAAAAAAAAAAAAAGAATAGCACTTCTACCCACAGTCAGAAGAGCAAAGTCTTACAAAACTTGGGAAAAAAAGAAATCATTTTACAAGTATATTATTTATGTTAATGTACACTAAAGAGTGTTTATCTATTGTTAGACCCTGATAGATGAGTTGCCTCATCACAGAACAAGCAATAGGACTTTCATGGCTCTGTGCCTATAAAGCCCACTCTAACTCCATTAGAGTCCACTGGACAACCTCAAGGGAAAATTCTAAGTGTGTAGTCATGACTGTATACCTAATGCAATTCTAAGTGTGCACTCAGTATTGTATATATAATGCAACTCTCCTTCACCGAGAACAGAGAACAGTTTGACTCAGTCATTCAAGATTCAGAGTTGATGTCATTTCAAGCAGATTGACACACAAGCATCCTGGAGAAGGGGAACTCTTTTTGAAAGTGTATCAACTATAGCCTAAGGGGTAGTACACCCGGCGTGTGACCTCAAGCAATGTGTTCTTACTGTGACACAGTGTACATGAGTCTTCATGTACTAGGGAATGTACTAGGGAATCATCACAGTAGTCACAGTAGTTGTGAATGAGGGGTGAGCCTAACCACTTAAGACACATACCACTGATGGTTATTATGAGTGATGACTTAGAATATAGCAACGGAAAGACAGACAAAAACAGAATGTTCAGAAGTGATTTAAATTAAAAGTTAAAATTAAAACACTAGAGGATAATTTTCATTTATTAGATTGGACAAAGTGAGATACTGGCAAACACAAGAGTGATGTCATTCGTATACCATTGGCAGGAGTGGACATGAGTGTCATTTTTTGGGCAATAGTCAAAGATGTTAAATGTATATTTTCTTTGATTTACTCCTCTGTGTCTAGGTTACATGCTTACAACCTTAGAAATAGAGCTGGGGAGATCTATCTTCAATCATACTTTACTAGCTGAATAAATTGAAACCTGGTAAGATTCCCTCTTTTAAAAATAACACCCATGCATTACAAATGCACAGTGATTGCCTCTGAGACACAGAAATGAGGACAGAGAAACAGAATTCACTTCTCTATGTATTTCTGCAACACCTAGTATTTTTAAAATCATCTGTATCACCCTATAATTCTTAAAAAGTAAATTTATGGGCATTCTAGTCCAGCCCTGAACTAGACAGGAACCAGCAAAGTGCTTCAGCTGTGCATTTACACAATGTTGAACACACCTTTTTGTAAAATAGCCATGGGGTAGCAGACGTTTTTCCCTGAGGGGAAAGCCGCTTTCAGCACAACCCAAACTCATGCATTCAGGCACATTTCACAATAAGAAGTCAAGGAATACTAGACACAAGATTACTCTGAACAGAATGTGGTTTGTAGTTGTGATCGACTAATGATAGATTTTGAACAATGATACAAGTTTAAGTACTTAGACCAAATGCACGTGCAAGGAGGGGCCTTGTTTTGGGAACATGTAAGGTCTTGAGGACCAGCAGTCTCTTTCTACAAGTCCCTGAGCAATGTAGCCACTATTTTCCAACTTACAAGATGTTTCCGTATAAGCAGAACCCTGAGCATTCAGCTTTCCGGGAGTGGGGCTCATATCTGGGGACCATAAACAATGAGTTACATTGAGAATAGCTCCTTTGTCCCCGACATTGCTGTGCCCTTCCATGGACAGAAAGGCATTATTTAAAACGCAGTAAGTCAAGCTTGGATTCTCCCATTCCATTGTTGTCACATACTCCGGTTTCCTCACCTCCAAAGGCACTCTAATAACATGGTGGCCAGTGTTCCTCTCGGGCTCACACAGGCTGCAGTGTGGCTACATGGGGCCAAGAGCATTGACAACCCCGGTGTCCTCACAAATGGGGAAGCACTCCTATACACATCTGACATGGTGCCATTCGGAAAGTGGGAGACATTAAAAGAGGAGCCCTAACTTAGTTTTTTCTTCTTCTCCTTCCTCCTCTTCCTCCTCCTTCCTTTTTTTAAGACAAGGTTTCACTAGTAACTCTGACTGGCCTTGGACTAGCTATGTAGACCAAATTGACCTCAAACTCACTGAGATCCATCTGTTTCTCCCTCCCAAATGCTACCCTACCCAGCTTGTTTTTATTCATTTATTTTTCTAGCTATGGTTTAGCAGAACTCCATCTTGTTTTTAAGGACATTATAAATGTCAGTATTATATTAAACTTTATTGTACATGACAACCATTACTGGCCATGCCTGTTGCAAAGAGAGGTCCACGTAATTCTTTTACCCTGACAGTCATACATGTTTTATTAAAATAATAATGTTAAAAGTCCAAAAAATATGAAACAGTGCTGTCTGACTTCTTAGTGATAACATCATGGTACCAACTATGGAAATTCCTTATATCATCTGCAATAGTCAAATGAATCACTTCCTAAATTTAGTAAAGACACAAACAGGTGTGTATTTTGCAGACAAGAAAACTTTTATTTTAAACCACAAATAGTCAGCAGGTGGCCACAACTATCCATATTTCATTAAATCACATAAAACCTAGGCACAAAAGCACCACTGATTATTGCTCTAGAAAAATTGCATGAAAAATTCAACTATGCACAGTAAAAACACCACAGTATGCACAGGACTAAACTTTTAAAGCAAGGGCATGGAATGCTGAATCCATTTTACACACAGCTTCCGATATTAAATTGGTGTTTATTTTACTTGAGAATGATGGAAATTTCCAAAAAACATCACCATAAGAGGATAAAATGTCCATCTTTATATATATTTTATGCCAACTAATAAGAGTCCTAAAAAATTAGCATTTACAAAATACGTGGTAAAAATAGCTTTTAAAAGTTGTCCCAAGAGGTACGTGAAATCAATCCCAGTTTTCCAAGACAATTCATTCTCCCTCGTTCTCTAAAGACTCAGTTCTCTGTGCCTGTGAGTAAGAAAAGAAAGAAAACAATATATAGTCACCACTAAAACAAGTTAACCAGAGGAAAGCCCACCCACCAGGAAACACACTTTTGAGCATTTGGCCTCTTGTTTTCCTTCCAGGTCTACTTGGAAACACACTTCAACTCTGAGTGGAAAACAAAGAAGGCAGAAATGCGTCATGCCAAAACGTCGCGGCATTTATTGCTTTCTGCTGTTTTAGCAACCACAGAAGCCTTACCTGCGGGCTCCAGTGTACGTAAAATAAATAAATAATGATAATAATATAAAAAAAAAAACCAGCAAGCTACTACCTGATTCTAGTCACTGCAAACATGCAGAGTGTCTACTGTACCCTTAACTCTCACTGTTTCAATCTGCCCCTTTACTGACAGTGTGCTGGGTGGGGGGCTTCTGCAGGCTGAGACATTAACAGTTGAACGAGAGATGTGGATCTGCAATAACATTACAGGCGATAAAGAGAGACATTATGAACGTGCTATCCAGAGCTGAAGGATCGAGCAGTGTCTTTGACACTGGTTTGGTCAGTGGGAGGTGGTCGTGGCAAGTACCTCTTCAGACTTAGTGTCACCATTTGCAGATGGTGCAGTACCTTCCTTCCCAGCTTCCTGCTTCTCTTCCTTCTTCCCTTTGGCACCTCTGCTAATCTTTGCTCCAGGTTCTTTCTGATGGACCGAAGCACAGGGAGACAGAGTGCATTAGGTGCGGAGAGATGTTAGAAGCTCCCGCTGGAACCCAGCCAGACACAGTGACACCTGCCATGGCGGCCTTCGTCGAGAGTGGGGACTCAACTATGCCGGTTTACCTGAACTACACTGCACTGCCCTAAAACTGTAACAGGCTGCTTACTGAGCCCGCCAGCGCTTCCGTTCTGTGGGAAAACGGTGAGTGGCCCAGGGCTCACTCCTGGGACATTCTTACTAGGAGCAGCTATGCGGTGGAGAGGGCAGCCACAGGACCCTGTGAAAGGGGAAAAGCCTGGGGAAAAACCCACCCACCGGGGGCGTTGTTCCTGTGGCTCCCCAATGTGACAAGTCATGGGGAGGCACGCATCTTACACAGCCGGGAAGGCCCTGAAGATGAAGGCGCAGCGGAAGAAATGCTGCTAATGTCCTGACTGAGCCACAGTGCCGAGCTCTGCTTTGGAAATCCAGATTCACCACCGCACGCAATTTCAGTCAGTGTGTGTGCTTTGAGGGGGCGCAGCACGCGAGAGTCACTGTGGCTAAGTTCATCGGCATTAATGCTCGTCACTTTTCCTCATCTGCCAAACAGGGCAGTCATATCTATTTCAATAGAGTAGACCGAGCTGAGGAAGACTGAGTAAAGTGCCCAGAACTAGAGGAAATGATCATATTTTTATTGCTAGTCATGGGAATAGCCATCTACTAGTCGTTAATATGAGGCTGTGAGCCTCTCTCTGACCTCTGGTGTTGGTGGCAGCAGTGGGGTCCAGGGCCAGGTCTAACCCCGCCAGACCACCACGTGACTGGGTGCATGTTCTGGGCCAGCTGGCAGGCCCCTCCTCACACGAGGCTGCCCAGAGCAACCTGCCATGCTTCCGGCACCTCGCTGACGGAATGGAAAACACATTCCTGCTATTGCACAAAACGGCCCTCGTGTCTTTAAAGAAAGCCCATGTGTTGGGGACCACTTTCTGGTCTGTACATTTTCGCCTGTCTCATTAAACAGGATCTCTCCTCAGATGATTTTTAGGCATGGAATTATAATGAGTAAAATATTCATTGTTTAGAAAAGCCAAGGGAGGGAAGAGGGGAATGCCTCTTACCTTAGCAGATGTTTTTCTTGGTTTAGGCTCGGGTTTTGGCGGAACAGGTTTCTGCAGAAGTAATTTAAATCACACAAATACTGAAACTGACACCATTAGCACCAAAAACAACGGCAAATGGGCCGAAAAGACAACCACTGGTCCTGACTGTGGCTCTGTGCATTTTGACTTGGTCCTTTCAGTATCAGGCGCTATCTCCATCCTGGATTTGCAAGTGATGGGCAAATAAGAAGCAGACTAACTCATTAGGCTCTGGTCCAGTAGGGCTCTCCGGGGCAGGGTTAAGTTTCTCTTTCTGATACCCCTGTACTTCCTTTTTTTCACAACACCACAGCAAAAGGAGAGACTCTGACCCTTGGCTAAACGGTTTGATGAATTCACTCTCAGCGGCCTTCCCAACAGGCTAGAAATTCCAGCATATCACAGGCAAAGTGCACTGTCCATCGGTCACCAAGGCTGAGGCCTGTGATGTTCTACAAAGCCATGTCCAACTCCCTCCCCCTGACACAGATTTCAGGTTCTGTAGCCAAACCACTTCCTGTTTCATCCTCTCCAATGTCGGCTTAAGGGACGATGCTAACACCAAGACACTGTGTCCCTTTGTCTCTGAAGCTTTTTATTAAGCATGTAACTACGGTGATCTGTCTGGCTATTAAAAGTTAAGATTTTTTTCCTGTGGGTATTTTAGGCCAAATATTTCTCTAATAAAGGTTTAAAATGTGTACATCTCCCCGAGCACTGAAAGCATGTTTTAAAAATAGAAAACACTGTCCAGGGTGTCCCCTGTGAAGAAAATGTGCGTTTCTCTCCAGCATCTGCAAAAGATCTGGAGTTCACACTGAATATAGCCTTTATGTGTAACATTTAATTAGAGACATTTCAGCTCCAAAAGACCAGCTGTTAGAGGAAAAACAAAGCTAGCCATGGTGACCCACTCTGGCAATCCCAGCACTCAGGACACTGAGGCAGGAGATGGCTGCCAGTTTGAGGCCAGTCTCTGCTACAGAGTGAGACACAGTCTCAAAACTCCAAAGAGGAGGGCCAGCGAGATGGCTCAGTGGGTAAAGGAGCTTGCAGCCAAGCCTGCTAACCTCTGGGGCACACAGGGTGGGAAGAGAGAACGGACTCCTGCCAGTTAACCTCGGACTTCCCAACACACAAGTAAACAAATGTAGTAATAATACACTTTTAAAAGAGAAGAAAAAAATGACCTTGAAAATAGAAAAAGTGGAAAGTAAGAAAGTTTTTATTTGTGTTCTTATCTCTCTGAATCTTCAGTCTGTTTCCCAAACACAGCTTTCAGGGCTCCTAAGTCCTAACTTGAAAATTTGGTATTGTAAGTTTTGACAGATTAGTATGTATGTCATCTTGATTTTTTTTTAGTCAACTGTTTCCACTTTTATCGTTCTCTGTGAGATAGACCTTTCATCTTGATTCAGCATTCAGTGTTTTGATAGCACTAAGAAACTACGGTTCTTGCATATGTGTGTGTGTGTGTGTGTGTGTGTGTGTGTGTGTCTTGCACAGGTACACACTGATAGACCTCGCTCCTTTTGTGGGTGCTGGGAATCCAAACACAGGTCCTCATGCTTGCATGGCATGGAAAACTCCTTACCCAGCCATCTTCCCAGCCCTCAGGAGGTTTATAGTACAGAACACTGTTGGCTTCAGATGAAGTTGTGCTGGCCCCACAGGACATGTTCTCAGGGAAAGGAGTTTCTGGCTCCTGGTGCTCTCGAAAAGCTTTCTTTTAAATTTCAGTTTTCCAAGTGTTATTCCCTTAACCAGCTTGAGATCAGCAACAGCTCTTCAGTCTTTCTGTTGACCGACACTGCTGTTCTATGGGCTCTTAAGTGGTACTGCCATCCCCTTCCACACATTCCAGAAGTGTCTGTGACACTCAGTGTGGGGATGGTCTGCTGGCAGTGAACCTTCCCCCATGTTTTTCAGACTGCAGGAATTTGGGGCAAAATCCTCTGCCAGAGTCAGTCTGGTCTGTTCATTGGTAGAACGAGGAAGAACGAACAGACAAGCAGACTGCCAGGGAGGAGCAGCAGGGCCACGGAGAAGCATGTCCAGGCTGGCTAGGAGCTGGAGCACAGAGTTGACATTCTGGATCCATATCAGTATTAACAGCTGGAGAATTCGGAGACCAAGATCTGCCAAATGTACTTGCTTTTCTCAGGGATTTATCTCAATCTACTTGGGTTTTATTTTCTTGATAACAGACCTGGCCACTGTTTTTCACTGACACAGATAATCAAGTCAATTGCATGGCAACACAGGTCAGATTTGCTAGAAACTGAGATCCCCCAAGTACTTTCCAAAAGGAAAACAAACTCAAGGAAAATGCCAGCTAATCATCCTTTTGCTTTGGGAAGAAGCTACATTGAGGGCTCTGAGGTACTTACCGCTGACAATCGGGCTGACCGCCGTGTGGGCTACGAAAGAATGGAGAAAAAATTGGCGATTATAAACATCTGGGCTGGTTTTAATAACTCATTCTTGATACATTCTACTTTGTTGAAAGAATAAAATGTATGCCACTCATCCTCCTCTACAGGTTAGCATAACGAAATACACCAAGTCCACTGGGTGCGTCAGAGAAAGGGCTGCTCCAAGATGCAGCTCACCTTCCATCAAGTGGTTTCCCCCAGTTCAGAGTGCTGGCAGAAGGGGGAAAGAGAGGAACCCCGGCTCCACTCTAACACACGACCGCTTCTTTTGTGATAAGCTGACGTCGGAACTCTTAATGGTTCCTTTAAAATAGAGCCCAAATCCTTAAGCTGGTTAACAGACTTAAGTAATTACCCAGAAACCAACACGGAACTTTCCCACCTCTGCTACCTCAAGAAAAACAATGACTGCAAATCTTACACAGGTAAGAAAGATATTTTTCTTTCAAACCTAGAACAAAATCAACACAATGATCTACTAAAAACAGGTTACACTAGTCGCTTGATTCCAAAAGTTTAGAAAACTGGTTAGGTAGATATTGACTGAATTTATTTTTTTTCCAGAAAATCTCTTGAGGATTGTACCAGTTAATAGCCAATGAGACCATAGAGAAAATACAAAATAACACAAACATCCAGGACACAAAGTTGACACTCTTTGCTACCTGGGAGAACCTACTTCTCCTGGGTAAGGGGATTTAACTTTTTAAAACTAAAATTGACTTCCTCTGCAAATTTTACTCCATATTTTCTGTCCATTTTACTCACCTTTTCTCTCTCCAGTAGAACAGTCAATGCTTTTTAAACATATCCAGAATATTTGCTGAATAAATGAACTCAAGCTTTCCCCTGATTCACACAGGGTTGTAAGGCTGACTCATTATGGTAGCTAAAATGCTTCCAAACAATTTTTCTTAAGTGGGTCAGCAAAAGTGGTCAGTGGGAACTCGTGTCATGATTGAGAAGAATCGTAGAAATTCCTGACTCTGTGCTGAAGTCAGTGGGTCAGGTCATAGTGGAAGAAATAGTTCTTCACATCAACACATATAAAACCTCCTTGCTGAAAGTCACAAGCAGAGCTAAACTCATCTTTCTTTAAAGCACATAAAGAAACCAAGGGCCAGAGCCTCCATGAATAGTTTTAACCTCAGGGTCTCAAGGAACGATCAGAGCTGAGTATAAGTCCATCTAACAGGATAGACACAGAATAGGAACCAGGGTTAGATGCTGATGGAGACACAGTTACTACCCAGAATAGGACATAAGTGTCAGGGCACAGCCTGAGGCATGACTGTGGTCAGTAGAGAAGGATGCAGGAGAAATTCTCCACTGAAAACACCAAGATGCCTGCTAGGATTCTCTTGGGTGCATTTGTGATGTCACACCCACAAGGCCCTGGGAGTCAGCGTCAAATCCTGCCATGCCTTTCTCAGGATGATCAACCATACTGAGTATTGCTGAAGACAGGACAACATGTCCACTTAAGCTGTGCAAAACATTTGTGCCCCATGCTTCAACGTGGTTTCTGAATGTGGGAGAACAGAAGGGCACCCCCCACTCCCACCCCCATCCCCATCCCCTGGTTACTGTAGAGCGCAGCTCTGAAGCTTCTGTGTGGCCTCAACCATATTCCCACCATCTAACAAGTACAGCCGGGAAAACAACCTTCGCCATGGGGAAGAGTGGCAGCCTCCTTGCTGAAGGAAAGCAGGAAGCAAATGGGCCTTACCCAAATCCTGTCCTGCTTGGCTGTCAACCTACAAGTATTCTGTTGGCTTCCCTTCACCAGTTTCTTTGTGCATCTCCCATCTGTATTTCCTAGCCCAAAGCACCACCTCTTTTCTATTTCAGTGTTGTCGATGCCTAGCAGGGACCCTGAGTGAGTGTTGAGGCAAATGGAAGGAGAAGCAAGCGCCAGAAAACCATATATAATTCACTTACGGGAAGGAGCCAAAAACACGTTAGCCAGTATACATAACTGTCCAATTCCCAATCAGTCACTGTTGGCAAAATCTTATTAAAGAGAGGTTAAAAAAAATCATGTGAAGGATTCCCAACTGCGAAACCCCGCCTCTCTATGCCGACATCTGAATACTCAGAATAGGTTTTCTGGAGGGATGGTCTCATCAGAGCTTGCTCTACAGGGCGAGCCTCCAGCTGACTGATCCACAGACTTAATTTAGGTTCAGAATAAGCATTCCAAAAGAAAGGCTTGCGAAATGGCTACTACAACAGTCTCTATCAGCTGTCTAACCCAGCCAGACTCTAAAAAGTAGATGACGTACCATAAAATTATTTTATGACCTCCTACCTAAAATTTACCCGCTCTTCTGTGTCGTAAAAAAAGACTCTCTAAAGCTTCCTTTCCAGTAATCACCATAAGGGATTTTTTTTTCAGTGCAGTGAAGGCTGAGGATAACCTTTCACTCAGTAAGCAGTACTGCTTAAGCATGCCTTCCTGGAAAGTTCCTTAAGCTTCCACAGCCTTAACATCTATAAATGATTGGACTAAATTTATTGGATACGAAACAGACTAGGCTGCTATTTATTCCTCTTTGAAACATGAAAGCATTTGAAATATTCATTTAAGGCTCGGCCTTGGTAGAACTGGGTAGGGGAGCTGTTAAGGAGTTTCTTTTAATTTGTTGATTAGGTGAGAGATCAGAGGGAAAGTAGTCCAAAGAGTGGCTCTCAGACAGGGATGGAGAGTTTTAGGATGCCAGATCACTGTGGTTTCTAGATCCTGGAGACATCAGAATTATTCACTAAGCATTAGTGATGGACAGAGAGGCCTCCGGCTGAAAGACACGGGGTCTATTTCAACATTCTAGCTCCAAATGCAGCACACACATGTACTCTCACACAGTTCAAAGGGAGGTGGGGGGGTAGTCAAGTAGAATTACTAGATTTTGCTGATTATCGCTTCAAACCTTGTTTCTGGGTCTCAGCATGCTCTTTTAAAAGTCGGATTGCTTTTGATTCTCAAAAACAAACAAACGAGAAGTTCAGTATAAGCGGCATTCTTTTCAAAGCTGGGAGACAGAGAAAGACAGAACGACAGCCTTGGCTGGGCAATAGATAAGAAGAAATAGGAACGGGGTCACTCAGCTGAAGCCCTGTACAAAAGGTGGGTGGCGAATAAGGATCGGGAACCAGGGCCTCAGGTGTTTTTCCTGATTCTGCTAATTACAAGTTGTGACCTTTGGAGAAAAGCATATTGTTTCTCTAAGAACCCTTCTCCTTGAGATGAGTAGGGATCACCGCATCCTCCTGGCTGCACTGCTCTGACAGACGCTATGTCTTCTCTATTTTTTTTATAGCAAATGTGCTATTGCTTTACTTTACTCTCTTTTACACTAAAATGGAGGCCTTAGGAAGGCGAGTCTTGTTTGTTTTTCACTGTGGGATCCTGGAACAGCACTGGGAGAATCTATAGGTGAGCATACATTTTTGATAAGGAATACCTGCGGGACACAGGTGCAGCAAGGTGCTAAAGGAGATATATCCAAGGTACTGGGTCCCATCTCCACCAAGGAGAGGGGGCGGGGTGGGGCGGGGAATGCTTCTTAGGGCTATTGAACAGCTCTGATACGAAAAGGCTTTGCAAACGGCAGAGAGTAATGATGATGGTACACTGTTTAGGTCACTTATTGTCCAGTCTCCTGAAGCGCAAGGCTCTGTACAATGCCTTCCAAATACCACAGCCATAGTGGGAAGTCTTCAAAAGGAAAGCCCCCTTTGTAACCGGTATCTGTTCATCCTGGGTGACATACGAAATGGCATAACTGGAAAATTCAGTTTGAACTGAATTTCAGTTCACTGGGGGGAGCGTGGGGGAGAGCAATCAGTGCACTTCTGGCAGCTTTTAACATTAGTCAACACTCATGCTAACTGATGACCTTCTACTTTCAAACGACTGTGCTGATGTCCTGAAGACATCTGATGGGTTTTAATCTGGCCCTAGCGTGCTTGACAGGTTTTTTTTTTTTAAAGCATTGTCTATAAAATCTTTTTGTTAGGAATACTATAAAAATATATAGCATAAAATGGAAAATAACAAACCAGAAAAGCATAAAGCATAAAAGTCCTTGGGCTAACATAACCAAGTGATATACACAAAACTCATGCTTATCTTTTATGTCTATCCCAGCCAACAGGATCTGCTTCCAGCACAGAGGCCTGGGAAGGCTTTCTGTAGTCAAGTGTCACCACTTAGCAATGGTTTTAAGGCTTTCTGATGGATCAAGTTAAATGTCAGCCCCCAGAGAGAAATGTGTGTGGTACCTAAATCCAAAAACACTGACGTTACACTCCAATTCTTCTAAAAACTGTGTTTTGCCATTTTCTATGTGTTTATCTTTTTTTGTTGTTGTTAACTACAGCATGTGTGTGGTGGCTTGACTGTGGATTTCTGTGTCATGTTATCTCCAGCAGCTCATTGTTGGTATATGGATGATCAGGGCAGGCGGTTTTGTTTTTACATTAAGTCTTTACAGCTTCTGGTACAGATTTCCTCCTTGGCAGAATGAATGTCCACGTACAAAGCTTATGTGGGGGTTTGGATATCGCGACGAATTCCTCTGAATTATTAACCATAATATGAATCACACCATCAAAGGGGTCTGTAACTGGATACTGTTGGTGCTCTCTTGTGACCCCTTTCAGTTTATAAGTTCAAGTGTGAGAGCTGAAGTTTTCCACATACTGAAAAGCTCTATCCAAAAGGGAACAGCTGTCATCACAGATACATCTCACTTCTGACTTTTGAAGATATCTCTGTCAGTGTCTCCATCAATGGTCAGACATACGCACCTCTTCCAAGTTCTTAACCCCTCTCCAGGCTTCTGTATTTTAACACAGAACCTCTTTGAGTCATGGGATAATTAGTTATCTGAATAACTTAAGAATTTTCCCAATTAGAAAAAAGCTTCAATATTTTGCTGTATTATGAATCTTTCCATAGTTTTGTCTGTAGAGATGAATCCTCTTAGGTAAATACTCAGAATCAAAAAAGGAATTCATAATTCACTCGCTGGAGCAGAAAATTTATGAAATCAACAACCTTTCATTTTCTTGTTATGAAAAGCTGGCCCTGTTTTCCTTGATGAATTTACCTATTATCTTCTCCCTGCCCAGAAGGAATTCTCAATATCCACTTTGACAGACAGCAGGACCAACAGGCAGAAACACAAACAACGTCGGAAAATACCTCATCAATGTGCTCAATGAAATATGCCCAAGCCTACATGTAATCTTTAACTTTTAGCCTCAGAAGGCTCGTTTGCAATGGCATTCCTTCACGTGCAGACAACATGAAACATTTCAATAGTAAGACCTATGTAGGCAAGTCAAAGGTACGCTTACCTCCTGTTTGGTTAGTTTGGTTCCATCTTTGCCCTCTGTATTCTCTGGAGACTAGAAAGAAAACATATCAGTTTGAAATCACATAAAAATGATTAAAACATATACAGTTAATATGACTCCTAGGACCAGATACAACCATATATTATTTTCAGGGAAAAAAGCATTTATTAAGTATATATTTCAAGGGTGGTGGTGTGTGTGTGTGTGTGTGTGTGTGTGTGTGTGTGTGTGTACACTCACCCTTGTGTGCATACATGGAAGCCAGAGGTCAACAGTGAATGTCTTCCTCTATTGCTTTCCACATTATTTTTTTAGACAGGGTCCCTCACTGAACTCAGAGCAAGTTGATTAGGCCAGGCTGACTACCCAGTAAGCTTCTGGAATTGCCTACCTCTGCCCCCAAAGCTGGGAATACAGATACATGCCACACCTGGCTTTATAAAAGTGCTAGTGATCCAAACTCAAGTCTTCATATGTTCATAGCAAATACTATATCCACTTACCTATCCCCAAGTTGTATATTTTACACACACACACACACACACACACACACACACACACACACACACACACACAGGCAGGTGATAGAGGGCAATATAAAGGGAAAAAGGAAGATAAGTAACATCAAGGATGTTTGTAAAGCTACAGGGAAAGATTATTTTATGTGTACTTTAAAATGCAGATATTATAAAAGTGTATGTATGTTGGGGAAGTCCTGTGTCAATAAAGCACTGCTGGCCAATAGGAATCTAGATAGGTGGGACTAGGAGTCCAGGAGGACTCTGGGAAGGAGAAACACAGACAGTCAGATGTAGCGCCATGGGGTAGGAAGCCCGGAAACCTCTCCCGTAAGAGAACTACTTAAGATTAACAATTATGGGGTAAATACTTAAGTCAGAGCTAGCTAGTAAGAAACAAACAAGGCCAACAGCTTCATAATTAATATAGCCTCCTGTGTGTTTATTTGGGACTGATGCGGCTCTAGAACCAGGCTGGCGGGAAGGCTTCTCTCAAAGGAAAAGGCTTCCCTTTACATATGTGTACACATATTCACACACTAAAGTGACATCACTCAAGGCACTAAGACTTCAATCAAGAGCCACAGACTATTGAGCAAAACTCCCAGCTACAGGCATGAGAAACCTCCCTTTGAGATATTAGGAGGTGTGGGGATCACAGACCCTGGCCAGAAACCCACCCCTCCATCAGCCTGGGAGCAGGCAGCTGCGAGATAATGTTTACTGAAAACAATTCAGTGCTATAAAGCTCTTGATAGGGCTCACTGAAACACCATGACTTTGATCCCCCCTAAGGCTAGATGCTTCTTCCTGCTCCCTGCTGTTTCTCCTGGATTCTGGTGCCAGAGATTTAACGACCAGCCAGGAGGGTGAGAAGTCTGGGAGAGCTGTGAGAGGTGTGTGAGAGCTTGGTTGGAGAATTGTGTGTGTATGGATGGCAGAAGTCTTTAAAAAGGGAAGCGTTTTTTCTTGGGGAATTCTCCTAAGCCGACTTGGGGAGCATAAAGTTTTCTTAACGCAACTGACCAGTCTCTGTGTCATCTATCTCGACCACCTTGCTACATTCTCGGATGCAGGCTGCTCAGCAGGTGCGACAAGGAGGGTTCAAGAGACTCCCAAAACAATATAGACTATTGCCAATGCACTTGATTACATTCCAGAACTTGAAGGCAAGATCTTTTTTGCTGAAGATACAACATAATTCTGTCACAAGACTGGAAGGAATCCTTCTGGAAGTGATCTTAGCACTATCAGATCTATTTCTTTCTTTTTTTTTTTTTTTTTTTTTTTTTGGTTTTACGAGACAGGGTTTCTCTGTATTGTTTTGGAGGCTGTCGGTCCAGCCAGGCCTCGAACTCACAGAGATCCGCCTGCCTCTGCCTCCCGAGTGCTGGGATTAAAGGCGTGCGCCACCACCGCCTGGCTCAGATCTATTTCTTGAGGCAGCACCATATACTGCTGTGGCAGTTCAAACCTGGGCACCAACATCAGTGGCTCACAACTGCCTTTAATTGCAGTGCCAGGGGATCTGAAGCCCTTTTCCCACCTCCATGGACATCTACATTCATGTTCACAAAACCACAAAGAGACATGCACACAGGGAGACATAAAAATAGTATAAATATTAAAAAACAAAAGGTTCATTAGAAAATTGAACAAATTAACATATTTTACAACTCTGTAAAATTAGAAGGTAAAAACTATGGTACAGAAATTTAAAGAACAGCTAATACCAACTCTCCTCAAAAGTATTCCACACAATAGAAGCAGAAGGGTCATTGCCAAACTCTTTTTTACCAGGGTTCAATAACCTTGGTATCCAAGCTACACAAAGGCACAACTAAGAAAGAGAACTACAGACCAGTATCCCCCATGAACATCGATGCAAAAATACTCAATAAAATGCTGGCAAATTGAAAACAAGAACACATCATAAAAATCATCCATCATGATCAAGTAGGCTTCATCCCAGGGATGCAGGAATGGTTCAACATATGAAAATCTATCAATGAAATCCACCATATAAACAAAATGAGAAAGAAAAATCACATGATCATCTCACTAGATGCTGAAAAAGCCTTTGACAAAATCCAACACCCCTTCATGATAAAGGTCTTGGAGAGATCAGGATAACAGGAATATACCTAAACATAATAAAAGCAATATACAGCAAACCAACAGCCAACATCAAACTAAATGGAGAGAAACTCAATGTAATTCCTCTAAAATCAGGAACAAGACAAGGCTGTCCACTCTCTCCATACCTCTTCAATATTGTATTTGAAGTTCTAGCTAGAGCAATAAGACAACAAAAGGAGACCAAGTGGATACAAATTGAAAAGGAAGAAGTCAAACTTTCACTATTTGCAGATGATATGATAATTTACATAAGTGACCCAATAAAATTCTACCAGGGAACTCCTATAACTGATAAACACCTTCAACAAAATGGCAGGATATAAGATTAACTAAAAAAATCAGTAGCCATATTATATACAGAAGATAAATGGGCTGAGAAAGAAATCAGAGAAACATCACTCTTTACAATTGCCACACACAAAATAAAATACCTTGGGGTAATGCTAACCAAACAAGTGAAAGAACTTGGAGTCTTTAAAGAAAGAAATTAAAGAAGACAACAGAAAATGGAAGAATCTCCCCATGTTCTTGGATAGGAAGGATCAACGTAGTAAAAATGGCAATCTTGCCAAAAGTAATCTGCAGATTCAATGCAATCCCCACCAAAATCCCAGCACAATTCTTCAAGACCTTGAAAGAATAATTCCCAACTTCATATGGAAAAACAAAAGACTCAGGATAGCCAAAACAACCCTGTACAATAAAGGAACTTCTGGAGGCATCACCATCCCTGACTTCAAGCTATATTATAGAGTTATAGTCCTGAAAATAGCTTGATATTGGCACAAAAATAGACAGGTAGACCAATGGAATTGAATGGAAAACCCTGATATGGACACACATATTTAGGAACACCTGAATTTTGACAAGGAAGCAAAAATTATACAATGGAAAAAAGCATCTCCAACAAATGGTGCTGGCATAACTGGATGCTGGCATGTAGAAGACTGTAGATAGATCCATATCTATCGCCATGCACAAAACTTAAATTCAAATGGATCGAAGACCTTAACATAAATCCAGCCACACTGAACCTCTTTGAAGAGAAGTAGGATGTACCCTTGAACAAATTGGTACAGGAGACTGTTTCCTGAACGTAACACCAGTAGCACAGACACTGAGTTCGATAATTAATAAATGGGATCTCATGAAACTGAGAAGCTTATGAAAGGCAAAGGACACAGTCAACAAGACAAAATGGCAGCCCACAGAATGGGAAAAGATATTCATCAACCCCACATCTGACAGAGGGCTGATTTCAAAAATATATGAAGAATTCAAGAACCTAGTCACCAAAACACCAAATAATCCAATTAAAAAGTGGGGTACAGAACTAAATAGAGAATTCTCAATAGAGGAATCTAAAATGGCTGAAAGACACATAAGGAAGTGCTCAATATCCTTAGCCATCAGGGAAATGCAAATAAAAACAACTCTGAGAAACCATCTTGCTCCTGTCAGAATGGCTAAAATCAAAAACACCAATAACAGTTTATGCTGGAGAGGATGTGGAGAAAGGGGAACACTCCTCTGCTGCTGATGGGAGTGCAAACTTGTACAGCCACTTTGGAAATCAGTATGGTGGTTCCTCAGGAAAATGGGAATCAGTCTACCACAAGATCCAGCAATTCCACTCTTAAGCATATACCCAAAAGATGCATATTCATACAACAAGGACATCTGTTTAACCATGTTCATAGCAGCATTATTTGTAATAGCCAGAACCAGGAAGCAACCTAGATGCCCCTCAACCGAAGAGTGGATAGAGAAAATGTGGTACATTTACACAATTGAGTACTACTCAGCGGGGGAAAAAAACAAAATGAAATCTTGAAATTCACAGGCAAATGGACAGAACTAGAAGAAACCATCCTGGGTGAGGTAACTCAGTCACAGAAAGACAAAACATGGTATGTATTCACTCATATATAGACATAGAGCAAAGGATTACCAGCCTACAATCCATACTGCTAGAGAAGCTAGACAACAAGGAGGACCCTAAGAGAGACATACATGGTCCCCTGGATAAGAGGAGAGGGACAAGATTCCTGACTAATTGGGAGCATGGGGGAGAGCAGAGGGAGTTAGGAGAAAGAGAAGGGGAGAAGAGGAGGGGAGAAGAGGATATGAGGGAGCAGGAAGGTTGAGTCGGGGGGGAGAATAGAGGGCAAGAAAAGAAATACAATAATGGAGGAAATCATTATAGGTTTATAGAGAAATCTGACACTAGGGAAATGTCCAGAGATCTACAAGGATGACCCCCAACTAAGAATCTAAGCCATAGTGGAGAGGCTACCTTAAATGCCCTTCCCTGATAATGAGATTGATGACTACCTTATATGACATCCTAGAGCCTTCATCCAGTAGCTGATGAAGCAGAAACAGACTCCCACA